TTTCGTCAATGTTGTGGCATCCTTCGGCAAGAAGCGAGGACCTAACAGCAACTCATAAGTTGATTTGTACCCTCTAAAAGAAATGAAAAAAAATACAACTTGAGACAGCACTTTTGTTTTTTATCCTCAATTTTAATTGGATAGGTTTTTTTGAAATGCAAGACCATAAAGCTCCAGGCAGTTGTTATCCTAAATGGCAATAAAAAATTGAATGAAAGGAAAGTTGAGTATTTGTTAGTGATAGTGAAACAGATGCCAAATAGTTCTTTAAAGTGCATCTTTTTTTAAGTAATGGAAAACTTATTTTACACCACCATACTTTTCAGTTTGTGTGCTTGGTTTCTATGGAAAAAAGGAAATACTTGTATTCATAATTGATATATAATTGATTAAACTTTGATGTACCCCACAGCTTGTATTCTTGGTTTCTGTGGAAAGAAGATTGATGATTTTATTAGAAGTTGATTTGATTTGATGTATGCTATTGAGTCTATTTCCATTCATATAGATGTTCTTGTAATGTCACCAAGGAAATAAAAGTTGCTAATAAATGTGTGTGATTCTCTTCAGGACTTTGCATGGACTCAAGAAGAAAACTGTCACTTTATTATGATTAACCTAACCATTAATTTTACATTTGAAACCCAGTTTCTAGAGTAACTCCTGCCGTCTTTTGCACTTTACTATGCTAAGCTTAACTACAATGTATTTGTAAATTCAAGAATATAACTAAGATTATTTGGAAAATTGCCATGATTATAGACAAGGTCTTTATTACTAAGAAAAAAAATCCTGGATGTCTTTCAACAGTTATCTGGGTATTGCTTCCCAACTTACCCAGGATGATATACCTGAGTTAGAAAAGATTAGTGGACCCCAGTCTTGGTAGAGACCAGCCATTAGGTATCTAACCGGACTCCCCCTGCCTCAATCCTTTGCCCATTTTTGGGGTGGGGGGCTTAGGAAGCAAAGACGGACCCAATGCTGGGGAACTTCCCCTACCTTTGGACTCAGCCCTCAACTAATTTTGCATGGTCTTTTTTTTCCCCTCCTGCCAATAATGATGTTAAACCTTTAATAGAGGCAATGAGACTTGCTCCTTCATCAAATAGCCCCACTAATTCAAACACTCCCAGTTCCCCAACCCTAGGGTCTCCGTTGACCACGGCTCCAAACACTGCAACTACTACCTACTCCTCAATGCCTACTAGTACATTATCCACCCAAGTCAACACTCAACCCCCAGGTGACCTTCCAACTCTCCCAACATGCTCAGCTTCATCACCTATCACCTCTACCCCCACAACCCTCTTCAACTACCCCATCTTCCCTCATTACTACTATACAGCCTTATTGTCCACCTCTCCATAATACTACCTCCCTCAACACTACTACTTCCACACTCCCCAGTCCCACAACCCCCATCTCTACAAATATCTTAAATACTCTATTTAGCCCAGCCAAAGGGGACTGATGTTTTGTGATCCCTCCCACAGATCCCTACTCTGACAACAATTCTCTTCCAGCATTGTCTCCAAAAACAAGTAAGCAAAGTTTCTTTCAGTAGCCGACCCAATCATTTCTGTCTCATCACAGTTATATCTGAAAACCAAGTTATAGCATTATCAACTCTTAACTGATTTCTCTGGTAAACCCATTCCTGCAGAACCTCATCCAACCCTCAATACTGGACTATGATGCAACATAAGTACAGTGCCACTCTATTCCCCCAGAGGTCATTGTAAGAACATTGGTGGAGCATCCCTCCCTGTCCAAAATTGTTAGCATTTAGGACATACTGCCAAACATTGCCTTTCAAAAGCCAGGTGCCCTCTATGTGCCCAATCTGGTCATACTCACAAATTGCTCTGCACAGTCATGCACATGTGCCAACTGTGGCGGCCCCCATAATGTATTTTATATGAGCTGCCTGACCTACAAATTTGAGTCTTAGGTGGCAACTCTCAGATTCAGACTTGGACTCGCTCTACATGAAGCCAGACAGGAAACCCGTCAATGAGTTTTTTCTCTTACTCCCTACTCCAGTAATGTTGCTTGCTCTGCCCCTCCTCCTCCCTCCCAAGACATTCCTACATCCTCTCCTATATCTTGCTTCCCTACCTCTACCTCCTACCTTCCCCAATCAAATTCTTTTGTCATTCTAAATCCAGACGCTCCAATTTCTACTGCAGCCCCAACACCTTTCCCTCTCCCTCCCCACACTACCCGCAGCAGACAGACTAAATGTTTCACCCCTTCTCCTACCACACACTCAACTCCACCTACATATGCCTCTACTCCTCAGACACCAGTCTTCTCTTCTCCCCCTCATAAGAAAACCTTTGTCTCACAAAACTCCCCAACCAACTCCTTTCCAGAAACTCTAGAAGATATTCAAAACTATCTACTTAAGTCCCAAACTGTGACACTGAAACCCCTCCTCCACCCTCAAATTCCATAACTCCCGCTCCTCTTCATATTCCCCCTACACCCCTTTCACCTACTCCCTCCCAACACAACCCACCCTCCCTAACTCCAGCTTCACATACATTAACCCTCCCTCCATCCTCTCTATTCCTCTAACATTGGAATATTTGCAGTTTCTGCTTTCACAGCCCGTTATTAGGGGCATTAAGGCTTGCCCTTTCATCAACTAGCCTATCTATATTTGATTTCATTGGTTTCCCAACTCCTGCCTCTTCTTTGACCATGGTTCCAACCATTGATACTAATATCCCCTCCTCGATGTTTGCAGTCAACTCTATCCATTCCAAATCATCCACCCAGGTCATTACTTAACCTTCAGAATATACCCCATCCTCTCTCCCAACATCATCCACCCCATCTTTTATTGCAGTCTTCTTCATTGTCTATCCCCACCCCCATTATTAGTCCTCTTCATCCTTATTGTCCTCCACCCAAAAGTAATACCTCTTTCCATACCTCATCTTCCCCCTGCCCTTGTCCTACTGCTTCCACCTCTTCAAACCTTTTGAATACCCTTTGTGGCCCAACCAAGTGGGATCATTTCTTTGTGATTCCCCCTACAGCCCCATACTCAGACAATACCCTCCTTTTCCAACAATGTCTCTAAAAACAAGTAGGCAAATTTTCCTTTTGCAGTCATTCTGATCATTCACGTCTTGTCACAGTTACATCTGAGTCCCAAGCTCATGCAGTATCTACCCTGACTGACCTCACTGGCAAACCTATTCCTGCCCAAACTTACTCCTCTTAGTACTTGTGCTGGAACTGTTTCCATCTCTCTGACTGATTTTCCTGTCTACAAGGACTGATCGGACTGTGAAAACAACTTGCTCACATGCCTCGTTGACTATGAAACAGTGGCACTCCAGTGCTACACTATTCCTCCTAGAGGCTAATGTAAGTCCTACACCATTTATTAAATTATTGAAAATCTTCAATATCTAAGGTTAATAGCAGTCTCTGTTCTTAAGACCCCCCACTGTAACAACAAACAAGGGATTGAAGGGGGTCCTACACACAAGAAGAACACTGACGAGATTTTTCTCTTTCTTCCTATTCTAAAACTGTACTCTGCTCCGTTCCCCTCCAATCTTCCCCAGTATCATTTCCTTCTATCCTGAACCATCCTATCTCTACTCCCTCTCTCCCCTAGTCAAATTTCATTACCAGTCTAAATCCAGATACTCAGCTGTTGCACCAGACAAACAAAATGTTCCATTCCATCTTCTACCACATCCTCTCCTACACCCATCTCTCCCTCTACTCCTATACATAAGAAAACCTTTGATTCTCAAACCTCACCCCTCCAGAAACTCTTGAGGACATCTAAAAGTTACTAAACATGACATGAGAATGATCCACTCCCTCCTCCACTCTCTGATCCCTTTATACCTATTTGTTCTACATTCTGATATGCTGATATCCATCCTAATCCTGAAGTTCGCCCTACCCCTCTTCCTCCCACTAACCCCAGAATAACACCCCATCCTTTCCTCCTCCATATGCATCACCATTCCCTCTTCCTTCCCCATTATCCTTACCACTCCCACCTAAATGATCATGTGGCTCCTTTAGGTTACAATTATGTTGTTCTCTGGAAACCTCCCCTCCTGACATTCTTCCTGATACTTCACCACCTTCCCTTGTTCCTTACTTCATTCTCAGGATTCTTCTCCTCCTTCTACAAATATTATTTCTTACTGTATTACCCTTTCATTGTTTCATAATGGTTCTTCTGTAGTCTTCCTCATACAGTGTTACTCTCCCTTCCTTAACAATACTCTCCATTTGATCTAATCTCTCTATACCTTTAACCCCATCACCACTGTATTCCATTTGCTCCCCCTCTATACCCTTTTCACTACAAATCTATCCTATACTGTTCTACAACCTTTAACTCATTTCCACCCTTTATGCCACAATACCCTCCCATTGTTATATGACGACATGCTGCCAGGCATTTATAGAGGACCCCGCCAGACCCAGCATCTCCATGCATAAGCACCCAGGCTTGGTCATGCCCAGTATGAAAGGTGGTAGTTAAATTGGCTAATCATGGTAGTTTCCCCAACTCTTTGCCTTTTTTTGGGCATGCCTGCTACTCAGGCCAACTCATCTAGATATGCCTTTAAATTTAATTTATATCAGGCTGAGTACACAAGTAAACTTCTACCATGTTAAAAAGGAATAAAAATTATTATATTATTATCAAGTCCTCTCAAGCTTGTATGCTTCAAGGGCTCATGAATTTTCTAGTTAATATTTTTTCATTGATAATATAGACTGTAACATCCACATTGATATAATGCAGTTTCCATATTACATTTTTTGTATATCATCCTATCAAGTATAATGACCTAATCTTCAATCTGCATTGCAGAGATAATATATAAAATAATTTATGTTTTTTAGGATATAAATTGCCATATTTAATAGTAGTATCTGTATGAGCAGTTTTACTTCAAGAGAAATAATTTCACGACAAATTTATACACTAAAGGAATGTTAAACACTTTTAACTTCGTAAATTATATTTCTAAGATATCCTTGGTAAATTAATGAAATAACATTCATTAGTACATAAATAACAAAACATTCTAAAGGGCTCCAACACAAAACAACAGAAGTACATTTTGTACATAAATCTGGAAACCAAAATATATACATATAATTTATTTCACATCTATAGATTTGCCTGCAAAACTGCTACAAATCTGTTATTCAACAACAGCCTATTCAACTGCAACAAAATAAATACTTGTTTTTTTCACTGCACTGACAGTCTGTACTAAAGAACTGCTAATATACAAATTAATCCTTAAAAAATTATGCACCCAGTATACAGGACATGATTGTTTGAATTTGCTGTGCTCTTTTTTCAGTACTTGTCATACAGTTCATTTTCTTCCTTCTTTACCCATACATTTTTCATTTGTTCAGTTACAAAAAGTGAATTCTTTGCTAATTTCTCTGGGGATTCTCTGCAAACATGGCATCTTGTTTTGCAAAATACAATTTACTTTTATGGTTACTCTCTGATACCTGGAAGGGAGGGTAATTATACAAGGACTAAAACTTCTATTTTTTTCAAGCATCATCCTCATAAGGCACTATTCTCTTAAATAAAATTTACTTCACAAAAAGAAATTTTTTCCAAAGAGGCAGTCACTCTCTAAAAGCTCTTCTATGAACAGAGAAATCATAAACAGATGCATTTTTCAACTGGCTGGGAAACTTACATAATTGGGCCCAAATACCCAAAAATATTATGCTTATAAATATGTCTAGACATTTCTCTCTACAAAGACAAAAATGTGAGTTACTGTTGTTCCTGGTAAATTGATCTCTATATTCTAAATTCACTTTATATTTGGAAAATTTTAACAGTAAACAAATTGTGTAATTTCATGGAGAACTTGCATACAGTAAACATATACATATACATTTATACACAAATATATAGATAGACAGGTTATATCTATATATCTATATATCTCTATATCTCTATAAAACTACATCTATACCCATATATCTATCTATATAGATAAAGAGATAGATAAACAGAGATATAGTCATGCATACATTCATAAGACAGATACACATATTACATCCAGATACATACATTAAATATATACATATGTACTCACTAAAATGTATATGTATATCGTGAATGACTTTAATATGCACATGAAACAGGCCAAAATGAAGAAAAATTCTCCAGATATTTCTGCAGCCACAACCATCTTCTCTCTGAATGTAAACTGCTTTTCCAAATTTCACTTTCTCCTCTTTAAGTACTTTGTAAACAATGGAAAAATAATGATGCCAAATGCTGCAACAATACAAGAGATACATATGTACATCCTTGGGGAAAAAATTCACAGTAAATAAAGCTTGACAAGGATCTGATCTGTACTCTGCGTACATATGAAATGGTCTTTAAGGCTACAATAACACTAGCAGAATTATATTGTGTCCACATATATCTTGCCTTGTATGACTCTAGGTTGCCTAATAAAATATTACAATGCCGTGGGCTTTACAACTGCACACTATTTGTACTTAAAATGGCTGGAAGAACTTAAAATTTAACATTGTCATAACGGGAGGACCTCAATTTTAGCACAAAATTAAAATGGGGAACCGCTGACAGAAACTGATACTTGGGAAGGTTTTATGATTTTAAATAAAAACAATGAATGGTATCACGTTTAAGAACGGAATCTAATTTTATAAGTATTTGGTAAGTGCTTCAAAATTACTTGTTAGTTTCTGATACAAAAAATATTACCCTCATATAACAAAAGGGAGATATATGAAGAAAGCAATTAACATCACTGTAGATAATGCTCTCAGCCACCTATAAAGGTATCTGTCTGTCTTTACATCAAAATCACAAATGTCTTCTTTGTTGTCACGTGTTTCATGTAGAAAAAAAAAAGAAAAAAAGAAGAAAAAAAAAAAAAAAAAAAGTTATATCCCAATCCTGATCCCAAAATCAATGTTTTTATTATCAGTCTAATTATTATTCTTTAGAAAAAAAGATCAAGTATTCATATAAATGATCTCAAAGAACATTTGATGGTTGAGTATGGAAGGTCTTTTCTCCCCTTTCCTCTACCTGAGATAAGTCTTCAGAAGTATGTAATGATAAGAGTATACAACTTTTACTCCTGAAAATGTAGTTTTTGCATCATGTGGAATCTGCACATTTAATAGTACAGTACTACAGATTCCCTCATATCAGAGAGAACTATGGTGAATTATAAAAACCTATTATCATTATTTTAGTTGACAAATGAGAGAATATCAACTAATAATACTAGTGTAACACTGGTAAATGGTGCTCAAACCTGTTTTATTCTAAAATTGTAGTTCTTTAACTTGCCCTCCTATCAGGACCTGACTGTAACAATCCAAAGTTTTTTTTTTCTAAAAACAAAACAAAAAACAACCTACCAACCAACCAACCTATGTGGCAGTGTATGTACTGTGTATCCTCTTTTCCATGTTGCAGCATAAACTTATAATAATGAGGCATTTTCCAGTGACAATGAGAATGCCATCTGTAGTCTCAGAGGGAATAGTGTCTTCAACCATATTTGGACAAAAGTAAAAAGGACAAACACATATTACTAGAATTAATCCCGTACTGGGAGGAAAATCAAGCTCTCAACCTGTATTAAGAGCAAGACAAGGAAATATATTCATATCACATATAATGTATATATGTATCAATAACAACTGACAATATGACGGAAAAAAATACTGTAAATGTATCAATCACGTATGCACTCCAGAACAAGGATCAACTGGTAACATGGTAGAAGTTGGTGTTTCTAAGGGGAAAATTAATAGAAAGAGCTCTGTATCTGTTTCAGTAGTCTTCCTAATGTGATCTTTCAACTCAGAGTGTGATATCCTGACATCGATAATGAAAATAAAGCAATAAATAAAATTAACAGGAATGAAAGAAAAAACTATATTGTTGGCAATACTGATGTAAACACCTTTTTCATTGGATTAGGAACTAAAATATGTACTTTACCACATACTTTCTAATAATGAGTATATTATCTTCCTCTTTGTAGGAAGAGCAGTGACCTACATAAACAATCTAAACCAATCAAAAAAAACAAAAAACAAAAAAAAATCTTACAGCTTATCACAGGCAAAAGAATCTTTTGGGACCAAATTATGCGCACTCCATACACTCCCCAGAAAAAAGGGAAGACCCACCAAGCAACGGTCAAAAAATCTCATACTTTATGCAACAGAACTCAATTTTTTTGTATTTCTGACTCACTTCACAATGCATCTCTAACTGACCTGAGTTGTATAGCTTGGAAACGGAATATGAACACACAACAGCATCAATTCTGGGTCCTTCATTCCCAAAAATCACGTGGTATTGAGAAACAAGGGAGGGAAAAAGAGTAATGCATTCTGTAAAACAAAGAACAAGGATAGGTTTTTTTTCCTTTTTTTCTTTTTTTTTTTTTAGAATTTGTTATACTACTTTACTTTACAAAAATATAAACAAATATCATAACTTCCCATCTCTCCTTTGATCCCTTACTTGATAAATTAATGATATACAAGTCCAGATACAATGTCAATAACAGGAATGATATTTAATTTCTAATTCCCCCTCTGTTACATGAGATATTATTCATATATCAATTTAAATATAATTATTTCCTGAATCTCCTTTATTTTTTCAATTCTTATAAAATTAAGCACACTACTGGCATGGAAGATTTGACATACATGCAAACAACAACATCCTTGTATATATCACATAAGTTCTTATTAATACAGACACAGAAAAAAGACATTAACTGTATAATTAACACAGAATCTACTTGCCATATCTCTGCTCACATTTAGAATATTGCCTAAGAATGGTTTGGAAATCTCCATATTCAAACCTATTTAAAGATGGAACTGCAAAAAATTCACTTAATCTAATTTGCCACGGCAGGAACCCCATGGTTGAAATGGGTTCTCCTATTGTGATAATGAGTTCAGGATCTGGCTGGCCCCGTGTTACTTTCAAGGATTCTAATAACTCCTGACTCACTTTGCTGGTTCCTGAGCTCAGCTGCCGGGCTGTGGCTGCAAGGCTACCTTTGCCATCAGTCAGGCTTAGGAGATTTACGACTACATGTGGCCCCGACCTGCTATTTTCTACAATGTCTTTAGCTTGGTTTGCTTCACTGTTATGGGTTATCACTGTGTAGTTGATGTCGGCACACACCTCTTCAAGGTGCTGGAGTATCACTGATCGCTGTCGTTTTAGAGTGCCATGCATGTCGTACAGGGAGACATAGCGTACCCCATACCCAACAGCCCACGTGATCACGTTGGCAAGATTAGAAATGTGATACACTTGCTTCCCTATGCACACCAATCCCAAGTGCTGTGGGATCTTCTTGAGCTGTGCGGCATCAGCTTGTATGCGGAGCACAGGCAGATTGCCTCCTCTTAACACTGCGCTCACGTGGAGGAACACTCGGTGAAGGAGGTGGAAGGTGTCGAGGACTGAGAGTGCCAAGCTGGCCAGGAAGTGGGCAACAAAGTATAACAACTGGAATATTGGCAGCAGGACATCCATCTCTGAAAGAAAAAGGCAATTATAGCTATACAAAAGCCAAAATATTATTTCTATACCAGACAAAAAAGTCTGACCAAATTGTAAAGTTTGGATGTAGACTAATCTATAATTGTGTATTTCAGTATCAGTCTCTCATTCTCAATTCTTTTATGATCATAACAGAACTTTTTTCCCATATTTTCTATTACTCATAAAAATCCATATATAAGCAAAATAAAATACAAAGTCAGATCCCAATGTCTTGATAACATTTAACTCAGTTTTGGTGCAAGATAAATTTTCATCATTTTTTTTCTGACATTCATTCTACTTAAATCTTGATACAAGACTTTAAAAAATTCATTTTTTCAGCAATTCCAACACTCAAATGCAATATTAATTTCTTGCTAGACCTTTTAGTGTGACTAATGAAATTTTGGATAACAGACATGTATTTCTTGATTTTTTGGAAACTAGATTAAATGGTCAAAAATGATAATAAAAGTAGATATGCTTTTTTTGATAGATTCATAGAGCCATTCAATCTTGCAATTATTATTCCTTCTTTCAATTATCCACACTGTAATATGAATCTCTTATTTTCCATCCCAAATGAAAGTATTGGTACTGTTTATAAAGTGACTGCACCCTTCTGAAAATAAGTCCCTATTACTCCAGTCATTCCTATAACATCATCACATGAACCAAAAACCTTCCTAAGCCGGCCCTTCGCCCCTCGACCAGACCCCCACTCGATTACTGTATTTCCCTATCAGAGGCTCCACCCCGGGACCCCTACCTGATCACCATAAAATTACTCTCCGTGCAGAATTTGTCACAATCTAATTTATTAATGTTTTATGTTATATTTTGACTATTCAGATTATTTCATGTTTACTCTTTGATTATTATAGCATTTCCTGTAAATGTATACCAAAGTATTATGTGTTACACAACTTTCCTATTACCGCCTTATAAAAGCAATACCAGAAATGAAAAGTGTTTTATTTTCAGTCATTTTGTCCATTACAGGCAAATTAGGAATCTGAAACTAGACTGCTATTTTTATAAGGATCATAAAAATTTTCCCTCTTAGACCATATTTTTAGGCAACCTATCAGTTATATATTTCTCATCAAATTTCAGTAAAATAAATCAACCACAAGTACACATTGATAGTTAAATTATTGTTTTAGTACTTCTAATAACTCTGGTATATGCCCCTAAAGTAATAAATTAGATGTTTATACATAACATAACTACTCATCATAGAATAACAATAATAATAACAATAATGACCATAATTATTATAATTATCCTCCTCCTATTCATCCTTATTGTCCTCAATTATAATGTGCACCTAATTTTTTTTTCTGGACTGCTAATGCTAAAAATATTATGTAAAATTATTAGGAATTTTAAAACTTTTTTTATCTTCTTATCATATGACACCAAGAGATTTGATAAATACTATGTAATTCATGAATGATTTTTTCATGATAATGCAATATAATGAACATTAATAATACAAAACTTCACCTGATATACTTATAAATGTCAACTACACTACTCTACCTCTAACTATAATTTAATACCTCATTAAACATACTCGTCACCATCACTTACCCTGACTAATACCACTAATCTCTCATTCTACATGTAAACTGTCCCAGAAAGTCATTACAACACCCCAGAATCAGATTAAGGATGCGTAATTAACGAAATTAACTGAAACTACCTGTATGATGCAATACAATACATTATCACACTGACCTGCTTATCAGTCATACACCATACATACACTCTACTTATGTAAATATAAGCACCGGACTAATGAACACACGTCAAATATTTTATATCTGTTACATTAATCCCCTTTTCCAGTGGGTTCAACTGTCAAAAAATAGGTATACTAAAATCGGCAAAATCTAATATAGTGGAAGTATTGACAGGCCTGGCAACATATCACCTGCTTCTCTCGGGCGGGAAACGGGGCAACACGGGCTAAAAATCGACACATTTCAATCAAATGGGCGTCAGTGAGCAGAGTTCACCAAGGCACACACTCACTTATCCACTTACTCGACGGTTTTCAGTCATATGTTCAGCCCCGTCAAGCAGCTCGAGTCACTCCATGTAAACACTCGAACACGTCGCCCGGCATTCGAGCTCGCGGGGAAAGTCTAATAAATTCCGCATACAGGCTTTATTTGCACCGGAGTTCCATCGAATAAAAGCCTGACATGAAGACTTGTATTTTCTTGACCTTTAGGATGCGAGAATAACGACAATAAGGCCCCGAATCCCTGACGTTGGACTCGAACGCGGTCACAGGACGGCACGTGATTGGTCCACGTCCGAGGCCGCGCCGGGACACGCCGACTCGTCTCCCGTCTTTTCGCTCTTATTTTCGCCCTTCCCGAGCCAGGCAGGCCTCGCCGGAGCGGAGAAAGTGCGAGGCGTTTGTCATGTACGCCCTGAGGTCCGGGGAAGTGTGGGTGTTCGTGGGGCGTCTCTGAGGGCGGGAGAAGAGCGCCCCTCCAGCTCTCATTCAAGGAAGTGATGTTCAGGGAGAAAAGGCCCGTCGCAGCTTCACTTTCTAAGACGCGATCTCGCTCCCGTCGCCGCTGTTTGCTTTCCCATGAGTCGGCGGGGCGCTGTTGTGCAGTCATGCATCCTCCTGGTAGCCTGCCTGACGTGGGTGAAATGTGCAACAGGGAAAGGTTCACTACAACGGGGTGACGCGGCGGGCGGTGTCCCTCCCCCCTCCAGGGACGGCGCCGGGGGGGAGGCGGTCGTCCTGTGGTGGACTCCCTTTACAGGGGTTATGGGACAGTCGCGAAATTGCGGACTGGGCACTTGCTTGTTTACAGAGGATCGCTCGTACCTGCACAGCAAGCGGCTGAAGGCGATCCTGTTCTACGGGAGCGACTTCAGCGTCGAGGACCTCCCTCTCCCCCGGCAGTCGAGGCACTGGTGGGGCCTCCTGCACGAAGAGTCCCCGAAGAATCAACCTCTCTTCGACCACCAACCGGTCTTGCAGCTCTTCAACATTACGTCAACATTTCGCCGAGGCTCCAACTTCCCTCTCACACTGCAGCATCTGAAGTCCATCGAGGCGCTCACCTCCACGCGCGAGTTCGTTCCCACCAGCGAAAAGAACGACTTGCTCGGGAAAGAAAACTTGGCCCCCGTCGTGTACGTCCAGTCGGACTGTGACACGCCTGCCCAGAGAGACAAGTATATCAGTGAATTAGCCAAGTACATCAAGATCGACTCGTACGGCGCGTGTCTGCACAACCGAGACCTTCCAGCCCACCTGCAGGACCCGGCGGCGACCTACGACCACGGCGACTTCCGCGCTTTGGTCGCCAAGTACAAGTTCGCCATCGCCATCGAGAACGCCGGCTGCGACGACTACATCACCGAGAAGCTGTGGCGGCCCCTGACCCTGGGGACCGTGCCCGTGTACTGGGGGTCGCCCAGCGTGCGAGACTGGGAACCCAATCCACACTCCGTCATCCTCGTGAGCGATTTCCCGACCCCGAAGGAGCTCGCTGTGTTCCTCCACCGGCTGCTGGCGAACGACACTATGTACGAGTCCTACTTGAAGCACAAGCTAGAGCGGGAGGTGACGAATACCTACCTCTTGGAGACGATGGAAAATCGCCGCTGGGGAATCGACAACGACTTCGAGAAGGGGAATTTCATCGAGCATTTCGAGTGCCACGTGTGCGACCAGGTGCTGACGCGGCACTCGGGCGGCAGGAGCAGAGCCAGGCCCGGGGAATTCCAGGCGGACCTGAGTCACTACGGGTGCCCAGAGCCCGAGACGGTGCTGGGGGAGGACGAGGAAGCCAGGAACTTTTGGGTGGAGCAGTGGAACAAGGCGAGGGTGGAGGCGCAGGTGTTGCATCGACTCCTCTCCCTCCCGCCGAAGCGCTTCACGCCCGACGAGTTTTTCGAGGCCGTGATTCCCGAACTGCAAAGAGACGGCTTTTTCCAGCGGTTCCCTCCTGAGCACGAGGAGTTGTGATCTGCGCTCAGGTTTTAAACATATATGATTGCTGCTTTTTTGACTCAAGAGTTTTTTACCAGATTTCTTTTATTTTTTCTATTAGTTCGAATATTATTATTACTTTTTATTACTTGAGATTGTGACCTTCAGCGTCTTGAGAGTCTCATTGGGAAATATCCACGATACCAAAGATAATGATCGTGAATTTTAGAATATGTTTTTATATGTGTTTGTGTGCTTTTGTTTGATGCCTTGAATTTGTTTTATTTTGTATGTTTTTTAGTCTCGACATCAGCGCTTTATGTTGTTTGTCTTTTACGTTGTTTGTGAATTTATGTGATTCATATCAATAAACCTAAGTATACCACTAGGTACAAAATAAAAGGTGCTAAATCAGCATTGGTGTCTTAAACTGCATATTTATATCCCCAGCTCTTTTTTTCGCGCCTACTCTCTTTTCATCTTTATATCGTCCATATTTTTATCTTTCTCTTCCTTTCGTTTTTTCCTTTTCCTCTTCCTCTCTCACTTCAGTTTCTTTCGCCTTCTTTTCTTTCATTTTCCCATCCTCTCACTCTCTCTCACTCTCTTTCTTTCTCTTTCTCCCTCCCTCCTATTTTCATATGACTTCCCTCTTCGTTTTCAGCCGCTTTGCTTGATTGCTGCGCAGGGCAACCAGAAGTTCATACACCATTTTGTATAAAATGTAGTCACAATACTCGGTTGTAGAACATAGATTGCCGTGTGGATACACTTTTTAACATGCGTAGATAGTACGCATTACACCTGCATTATATAAATAAAATGTGTTGCAGTCTTACAACAAATCTGCCCAGATATTCATCAAGAAATGTACCTACAGAAAAGAAGAAGAAACAAATGTAACTGAAAAGTCTTCAAGCTGGAACTTTTCTAGACCTTTTACAAATTGAATGTTATTGAACAGACATGAAAAGCAGTCCAGCATGTCACTCTCTTGCCCTTTCACCATATTTTAATCAAGGAAAGTCTGAACGAGTTAATTCCATGAATATACATGAGTCATCTTACCATCTGAAGTAGGTCTGGCTCTACCCTCAAGTGCAACAATTTTTAACTTTACCAATAATACCTGGGCTACATTTCAAAATTAAAGTTAAGGGTTTTGAAATGCATATTTTAAAAATATTCCGTGTTAACGCCACCGACTTGGCGGACACTAGCCTAGAGGTATGGATGTCACTAACGCCTCCATTAACTGGCGTCTGCAGAGCGCAATCGCTACCAATTGCTTGGGCAACGACTATATGACGATTCATCTTAGAGGAAGTCTCTGCCCATGGCTGTCTGGACAATCTCATTGAGATTGAGGTCTAGCAATTTGGGTGGATGTGGTACAGCGTAATCTCGGGGTGTTGCC